TATAATAAAGCACGCAAGAAAATCGAAGTAAATATACCGGGTTCTCCTTTTTTCCAGTTTATACGTCGGCCAGGAATCTGGGCTTGATGATCCTCAAAGTTCCCAGACACCTAGAAAAAATCATCATCGTTTAAGTCTTTATCTGGTGTATATTTTATTATCTTCTCTCGGCGACGGCGTATTCTTAAATAGTAGACCCACCCATCTTCTTTTGAACCAATGGAGTATTGGTGGAAGATTTCGGCCAGACCAAGGTTGAGACCGGTTTGGCGGTTTAGTTCGGCTATTCCCATTATGATACGGTATGAGTTGGTGGATAGTTGGGTTGGGCATAGTCTGGTTTGCCTAAGAAACTCACAAATTAAGAGTTGGACTGGAAATCGTAGTCCGGTTTCAATTATGAACAAAAGGGTGAAGGGGACAAAGCCTTCATTTCCCCAGGGTATGACATCTTTTTCGACTAAAATCAAGTGGACGTCATCGGGTATATTGTAATCTTTTCGGAATTCGGCAAGACCGCCCGGAGTATTTACTAAATATCTATACTTCCCCATTTATTGTATAAATTATGAATAAATTAGATCGGTACAAAAATTGTGCTCAGTAGCTCGGTTGAGCGCGCAGAGGAATGCCTAGGCGACCTAAGTCTGCAAAGTGAAGAACAAAGGTGTTAAGCACAGATCATTGGGTTGTGCTACAAATTAAAAGCAGGGTAAAAAAGTTCTACTTCGGCTTTGAGGGATGTTTCAGGCTCTATCTCGGTATTCTGCAAGGTGATGGGTAGCTCGGTTTGAGCAGGGTTTTTATTAGCTCGGCCTTGGCAAGCGTCTCGATATATCGGTTATGGAAACGATTTTGTTAGACCGGTTGATCGTCTAGGGGCAGCTTTCGGAGTTCGGTCTAAAAACTAAGAAAGCTGGTTTAGCCCCAAAGGCCTAAGATCGGTAGGAATTCAGGTATCTCAGTATTCTAAGTGCAAATTTAGTTCGGTTTGTTACCTCGGCTAAGGTTTTTCAAGAAGTGGCTTGACTTATTCGAAGCTACTGGTATAAACATGAAGTGTTAGTCCAGTTGTAAGCTGACTAGACTTTTACCTAGCTTAAACAGTATCCTAGTTTGGTTGCATCATGATTTTGGATCAAAAACCAGTTTTCTACAGGATATTTCATATACTCATGTGTTCTATGGTGAAGTTTTTTCCATAAAAGTACAGAGCGAAGCAAAATGGAAAAATACGTTTTGCAAAAACACAGAAAACAAAACACAGAAAGCAAAATACGAAAACAAAGTAAAGGTACAGTGCTTACCTGATGAAGAGGCAAGAGTTGGAGGGAGACTAACAGTTATGAAGAACACGAGCTCAGAAGATTGAAGAAGGAGTAGAGGCACAGAGAGGGAAAAATTGCAAAGAGTGTCAAAATGAAGAAGCAATGGAGGCTCAGATAAGGAAAAGTTACAAAATATGGCAAAATGAAGAGACTCGTTTTAGGTAAAGGAAAAAGGGCGGGACTGTTCAAATTTCACGAAGTACGAAGATAGAGTGACAGCCGTCCTCAGTCAATCAGAGCGTGCCACGTGTCCTGGGAAGGAGAAACGATTCAGTCGCTGTGATTGAAAAGACGTTTTGACCGGACAAACAAAGCCCGGTGTGAAATTAGCTCGGCTGGAAGGCTTAAGAGTTTTAGCTCGGCTGGAAAGGCTAAAGGGTTTTTAGCTCGGCTGGAAAGGCTTAAAAAACTTCAGCTCGGCTGATAGACAGGTAATCCCTATCATGCTGCACAGATGGAATTAAGGGGCAATTGAGAGGATAATTTTTGTAAAAATTGGGCCGAGCTGGGAGATGGTCATTATGGCCCACAATACGAAAGGCTGAGTAAAAAGGCCGTAAAGTTACTCCGACCCAAGAGAGATACAAAATTACTCCGGCCCGAGATAAATGTAATGTTACTCCGGTCCGGAAGCGACTTGGAGTTAGGCCGGTCTCAGAGTTAGTCCGGTCATGGCATATTGTGGTTAGAACGGTCAAAACCTTGCTACTCGGTAGCTCGGTCTAAACACACCATGGTTCGTACATGAGAGAACCGAAATAAGGTGTAGCGAAAGGAAGAACCGGACTAATGATTATTCGGCCTACTCTGCGGCTCAGCATAGCCATGATTCCTTCGGTCATGTTGGAGTTCGGCCATGGTAAAAACCATCTCACTTGGTTTAAGCAGTGAGGAGGGTGTTGAAGGATAAGCATTATCTTTTAGAAGTATGAATCCTAGGAGGACTCTGCATGGAGGAGTAGAAGTCCTACTAGGATTATGCCACACGAAACCTATAAAAGCTCACAAACATCACCTTTGAAGAGGTAACACACAACTTTGCTTTCTGAATACACAGAGCTTTTGTCTATTTGTCAAGCTTACTGACTTAGGCATCGGAGAGATTTCCGGCACACACCCGCCGGCTAGCTCACATTTGTGTTTTCAGGTGATAAAACGACGACGTACGGAGGAGCGCAGACTTGATCAACAGGATTATACGAGAAGGTTTATTTTTTTCCCGTACAGAGCGAATGAATTTAATTGGTTTTTTCACCCACCGCATAGATATATACACCAAAAACACCATGCATGTATGTAAAAACGGACCTGGGGGTGCTGTCAAAGCAGTGATCTGTTGTGAGCGCGTGGTTTGATGATTCGATCTATCATGTTATAAAATTCGTTGAGTATATTATCTATACAAAAAATTCAGTTAATTAGAAATTCGTAATCCCACGATCAGATTCAAATTGTTTTACAAAAATTATCAATATAATGTCACCCCTATTTTTAAAAAAAAAACAAATGTGCTCTTGTTATAAAGTTATAAATTTTCAATCAATTTAACTTTTTGCATGGATAATCTATTCAACAAATCCTACAATATAACAGTTTAGATTATCAAAAAAAATTCAAAAAAAACCTTCACAGACTCACAGCAGATTGTTGCTGTGACTAAGTCACAGCAGATTGCTGGTTCGGAATTTTTTATACATGACACTTGTTATGTCGACCGTGTAGAATTTGATTTGGTGGAAAATGTGAAAAATATCATTTTCCAATACATGCAAGAATAATAAAATAAAATATTATGGCCTATTTTGACAATTAGAAAAAAAATTAACTTATAAACTTATTTAAGTCATATTATTTATCCTTTTTTTTTTAATATTTAAAAAAAATACTAAAATGTTAAAAAAAGAAAGTCACTTTTCAAAATAGGCCTATATATATGTACTCTAGGTGACTTGCGACTTTTTACATGCATTTTAACTAGATCCACAATCACATTAGTCACATATGTATTTAATCATTACAGTAATGCTACATGCACCAATTAATATACACACTAGTGTACTGCAAGGGTAATATATGTGAATAAATTGAGCTGAGCTAAGTCCCTCATTTTTAGACATTTGGACTAAGCTATGGGCCAGAGTTGGAGCTATGATAGCCCAATCCTGGGCCATCCAGGCACCAAGCCAGTTAAAGGTGCTTCTAGGGCCTTGACTGCACTGTCTAGAGCTAGGTCTTGAGGCAGACCGAGGTGTTAACAAGGAAGAAGGCCGAGCTAAGTGTGATTGGCCTTTGGGCCCTATTGTAGTGATGGTTACCACGACTCTACCCAAAGTAGCTTAGAGCAAAGGAAGCTTGGTTGGATATAGTACCAACTGAGGTAAAAGATGAGCATGCTCACTTAGCTTGCAGTATTGAGGGTGTTCTAAGGATAAGCATTATCTTTGCGAGTGTGATTCCCGGGAGGACTCTTTTAGGAAGAGTGGGAGTCATACTAGGATTGTGCCAGACAGATCTATAAAAGCTCATAACAGGACCTATGCACAGGTATCACAATTCTTATTCTCAAATACACAGAGCTTTTGTGTCCTATTGTCTACTTTGCTGACTTAGGCATCTGAGAGGTTTCCGACACACCCCCACCAGCCAGCTCACGTTTGTGTTTTCAGGTAACAAAGCGACGACATTTAGAGGAGTGCAAATTTGATCAACAGGATTATACGAAAAGATTATTTCGTACTGGTACAATTGGTGCCGTCTGTGGGAAGTCATACAGAGAACAAACCTTTTGATTGAGTTTTCCTTCAATCAATGTCAATGGCGCATAAAGAGGACTTGTCACATTCTGCTATTGATAGGCAGACCTCGGAAAGGAACGGGAGGCGCGAAGGTTTGCCTTTTGTTACGCTCATGGCAGAATTGGATCCCCAACGACGGAACCCACGAAAAGACGCACGAGAAAGACGAGGCTCAAGTCCACGCCGCTCTCAAAGCCCGGATAGCCAAAGGTGGAGGATAGATCCTTAAGTTCTGGAAGATCGCGTAAAGGAGCAAGACAAAGTGATAAGGAAAATGACTGCTGACATGGAGACTTTGAAGCACTACATAAAAGGCAAAGGAGTGGCAGAAGAAGAGATGGGCAAAGGCAGAATGCACTCTCGCCACTTAAGAGATCGTGACAGGCAAGTCACAACGTTTTAGACTGAAAGCAGAAGCCTCAGGAAAGGCGACACGCAGTCAAGAACCTCTAGGACTCGTTACTCTAAGTCTGAGAGAACGAGGACTGAAAGGTCATGTACGGAGGGGAGTAGTTATCGGCCCTCACATATGCACCAAACGACATCTAGGCACACAGAGTTGCCTAGGACGGTAGACCTACGGACCGTACTAGAAGAAAGGGCTCAAATGAGAGAAGACACTCAAACTCGTGACCCCCGAAAGGCCTCTGCTCTACAACGGTTGGCTCCTAAGACACATGGGAGTGTCGAGGTTGGAATGCCAATACCACGGCTTGCCCACGAACAAACAGACAAAGCGTCAGCAAGGTTGTAGAGCACGCCGTTCGTTTCAGCGATTGAGAACGCACCATTACCCTTAGGCTTCCACCAGCCTAAATTCACAACTTATGAGGGAAAGTCAGACCCCTACATGCATTTGAGCCACTTTCACCAGGTTATGGCCATGTATCGACGAAACAAGGCTCTAATGTGTATCCTATTTCCTTCTAGCCTAGGCGACCTGGGTTTGACATGGTTTGAGAGGTTGCTAGAAGGCAGCATAACTTCATGGGTGCAACTTGTGGAGGCAATCGTGACCAGGTTTAGAACAAGCACCAAGACGACAGTAGAGATTGACCAGCTATTCTCCATAGACATAGAGGAGAAGGAAACATCGAAGTCTTACAACAACCGGTATTGGGAGACTTTTAATCAAATTGGAGATTACCCCGCAAACCTAATTATCACACAGTACAAACAAGGTTTACCAGCAGGCAATAAATTGAGGGATTCAATAACAATGATGCCACCCTTCACGATGGAGACCTTAATGGAGAGAGTACATCAGCACATCCGTGTAGAAGAATATAGCGCCCACGCTAAAGCAAAATCAAGCATAACAGTGATGCCGGCTAGAAAGACTGCAGCAAAAGTCAACACGGTTGAACAACCAAGCAAAAATAGACGAGGCAGACGAGCCAACAGAGAGCATCCCCAAGCAAGGAAGTTGAAAGTCCGTACTGCCATCACCATAGTATTCAGTAAACCTATCTACCGGATTCTTAGCGAGATACGCGATGTACCCTTCGTTCAACGGCCAGCCAAGTTGGAAAAAACACAGAGGGGCTACGATGAGAGGTACCGTTGCACTTTTCATGATGAAAAGGGGCATCGAACTGAAAACTGTATGCCATTACGGAAAAATCTAGAGAAGCTAGTGGCCGCAGGCCACCTGGACCAATATATTGAAGTGGGAACACAGCCAGCCCCCTAGGACCGCAATAGGCCGGATGGGATGCCGGTCGACGGTCCGCCTCAAGGCATAATCAATGTAATATATGTGTTCGTTGAACCTGAATGGGTATGTGAACTCAGAGGGATGATCAAAAAGGCTGAGCACATGAGAGAGGTACTAAGTGCACAACCTACCATCAAAAGGGGAAAAATGGAGGCAACAAACGTCATCTCCTTTTCTGACAAGAACTTAGCAAGGTTACAATACCCTTACAACGACGCACTGGTGGTTACTTTCGGCGTCAAGAACTTCGACATCAAGTGGATCCTAATTGACCAAGGGACCTCTTGTGAGATAATGTACTACGAGACCTTCAAGCAACTAAAACTGAAGGACAGAGACTTGGCACCTGCAACATCTCCCTTAGTCAGCTTCAACTCAATGCCAGAATGGCCGGTGGGCAAGATAATTCTGCCGGTCAAGGCAGGAACGATGACAAAATAAGTGAAATTTTGGGTATTGAAAGTCCTTTTCACTTACAACATAATCTTGGGAAGAGCATGGTTGCACGCCATGCAATCTGTGGCATCAATCTACCATCAGGTGTTGCGGTTTCCCAACAAAACTGGAGTGATTGAAGAAGTCTTAGGAGACCAAATCATGTCGAAACAGTGTTTCGTCACAGTAAACGGCAGCCAGGCTGCAAAAGGGTTTGTACAAATGGCCAGAAAACAACGAGTTGTTCACAGACGTCGGCAAAGCAGCCGAACAGAAGGCAGTAGAAGACTTGGTAGAGGTAAGAATAGATGAAAAGAACCCAGAAAAGTTCTTTTTGCTCGGCTCGTCTCTGTCCAGCACTGAGAGAATAGAGATCATGGAATTTTTGACCTCTAACATCAAAGTGTTCGCCTGGACGCCGTATGACATTCTTGGCATTGACCCCAATTTCATATGCCATCAACTCAATGTCCATCCAACTGCCTGACCAATTATACAGCGAACTTGCCGATCGGCACTCCACCACGTAGAGATAGTGGCGGAGGAAGTGGGAAGCCTGTTGGAAGCAGGGGTAATCAAAGAATTACACTATCCCAGATGGATTTCCAACACTGTAGTGGTGCCAAAAAAGAACGGCAAATGGCACGTTTGTGTGGACTACAAAATAGTTAACAAAGCGTGCCTAAAAGACAGCTTTCCCCTACCACGAATAGACCAACTAGTAGAGCTAACAGCAGGGCATAACTGACTTAGCTTTCTTGATGCATATCGCGGTTACCATCAGATCGCTGTGTATGAACCGGATCAGGAGGTCATGTCATTTATAACACCTAGAGGACTATATTCCTACAAGGTCACGCCCTTTGGCCTAAAAAACACAGAGGCTACATTCCAATGGATGATCACCAAAATGTTTGAACCATTGTTAGGCAGAACAATAGAAGCTTACATAGATGATATGGTGGTCAAAAGCAGAGATGATGGGGACCATCTTAGGGACTTAGATGAGATGTTTTTGAAGTCCCACAAGTTGCGACTGAACGCATCTAAGTGCGCATTCGGCGTGGGGTCAGGTAAATTCCTAGGCTTTCTAGTGACCAATTAGGGTATAGAAACTGAACCTTCTCAGATCAAAGCCATCCAGGCTCTTGGCAGGCCGAACACAATCAATGAGGTACAACATCTCATTGGCCTAGCAACCGCACTAAACCAGTTCATAAGCCGGTCGTCAGACAGATGTCGACTGTTCTTCCAGGCACTGAAGGCCAAGTTTAAGTGGGATGATGAGTACGACTACGCCTTAGAAAGTTTGAAAGACTACATGACCTCTCCTCCGTTGTTAGTAACCCCCGTACCAAGAGAGGAGCTCTTTTTGTACTTAGCAGTTTCCCAGCATGCAGTTAGCGCAGTGTTGGTAAGGGTTGAAAGAATTCAACACCTGACTATCTTTTATGTGAGCAAGACATTGCTGGGCTCGAAAACAAGGTACCTGCCATTGGAAAAACTGGCCTTAGCTTTGATGATGGAGTCAAGAAAGCTGTCGCACTACTTCCATGCCCACACTGTGGTTGTCTTAACAGCCTTCCCCTTAAAAGCCTTGTTTGAGAGGGCAGATTTTTCTGGACGAATTTTGAAGTGGGCAGTGGAGTTAAGGCAGTTCGACATAAAGTTCCAACCAAGAACTGCGATAAAGGCCCAAGCTTTGGCGGACTTCGTGGCTGAGTTCACACTAGGCAGTCACCAGGTTTACCCAATCGATTTGACCGAAGCAACAGAAAGAATGGGGAAAAGTACCGCAGGAATAGCACAACCCCCAAAATAGGATGCCCAACTGCTTATCAAGCCATTTAGGCCTGAAGAAAGAGAAGAAGGAACAGACCGCAGTACTGCCAGCAACGACTCACCCAAAAGTAAAGTCTTGGGACAATCAGACAGTGAGGATCAAAGCCTAATGGCAGACACTAACCTGGAAGAAGGCATCAACAACGCCCTTGATCCCAAGACATTATCCGATCCCTCCACTTGCTGGAAGCTATTCGTCAGAGAGATATGGAAACTCTTCGTGGATGGAGCATCCAATAGGCCCGGTGTAGGACTCGGCATAGTCCTCATCTCATTGGATGGTCTAACAATTGAACAAGCAGTCAACCTTGGCTTCCCAGCATCCAACAACGAGGCAGAGTATGAGACATTGCTAGCAGGTTTGAAATCGACACTTCGCATGAAAGCCACCTGTAGACACCCCATTTTTTACCGTCCTCAAGACTTGGACGTCACCGTTTGAGCACTCAGTGATCATCCATGTTTGTGTTCGTTTTGAGTTCCCGAAGGTCTCGGCTACGTGCCTTGCCTCAGGATCTCTCAACTCGACTGTTTTTGTGTTTGGTTTTGCACCAAACACTTGTGTTTTGCCTTGAGGGGGGCAGGGAATGACTTATTGGCCATCCCCACACTCCACCGGCCATTGCTTGAGGCCACCGGCTGTGTTTTGTTTTCACCGGCCAAATGTTTGGCCGACCGGCACTATAGATGGTCGACCGGCCATCTATTTTGGTCAAATTGCATTTTTGGCCGGCCGACTACTGTGCATCTGCTTTTGCAGATATTTTTATGCCAGCTGTGCTAGCTGGCATACACTTTGCTCCCCTCCATACACGTGTATGGAGGGATCTCCCTGTTGTTAGCTTGCCTTGGAAGCTTTACAAGATTGGATTGTCTATAAGAGGAGGCCTTTTCTTCCTCTTTCAGGTTAGACAACATTTTCAGAGGGCTCTGGTTTTAGGGTTTGAGTTGTGTATCTATCCTATGTCTATATCTCCCTCTCTCTTGTGTTTTGTGTGTGTTTTGTCTTACTTTTGTGCACAAACACCCAACATTACACCTTCCTTTAGCTACTGAGGTACTAAGAGGCTGTTCTTCAAGTTTTTGAGCTGGTTTGAGCCAAAGAAACTGCTGGTCTATCATTCTTGAAGAGGGTCAACAAGGGTAAGAACTTATCCCTTTTATTCCCCATTTTTGCATAGCTCTTTAGCCTGCAAAAGTCTTGTTTTTGCCTACTCTAAGTAGTTGGTTAAGGGTGTTTTGAGCTTTGAGGTTGTTTGACCCCTCTTAGGGCTTATTTGACCCCTTTTTTGTGCCATTTTGGTGAGCTCCGGGACCATTGTGTTTGGGCCTCCTCACCACGGAAATCTTGAGAGATTTCAGTGGTAAGGATGGTGCCTTGAAGTCCCAAGAAGGAGAGGGCCACCCCCTCTCCTTGTTGTCCTTGAAAAGGGCCATTTTAGCATCTTGAGAGAGCATCTAGTTTAGGTTCATGTTGATCATGCCTTAACTGATTTTTGTGCTTATTATGTCATAATATAGCTCTGTTTTTACTTGTTTTAGACACATCTTGCATGCCTTGCATACATGTCTTGTAATGCCATGTTTAGGCCTTAACATGCTTTAGGTGTTGACCCTTGTTCTAGCATGATTTC